GTAATGAAAGTTTGTTTAGCACCCATCTCCTTATGGCAATTTTGTACGGACATGAAATACGGAATACAATCCTGAAAGAGAGACAAAACTTCCAGTGCATACGAAAAGCCATCGAAAGACAGACGCCATGAAGCTGTGTCAGATAAATAATTCTTGATCTCTCCAAGCGATTAGAAACAAGGCGTGATGCATTTTTGCTGGAACAATACTTGCAATCCTATATCAGTATTTTATATGTATGGGTTTCTGGCGGACGTGCAAGTCAGTCAATCAAAACGGTTACTCCAAAAAATAAGAAATACATTTTATATTGATAAATAGGATACTAATCAATACAGAATTGTTCGATTGTTGGATATAAGTGCTTCAAGCACCCAATTTTGTGCATGCAGCTCTAATGATGCGACAGTGTATGCAACGCAACGCGTTGGCAATAAAGACGGTATCACCTGCTGTTCTTGCTTCTCTGAACCACCAATCGTTCAACCGTCTACCTATATAACTGCTGGCCCCAGATCGAAAAGTTCGTCTCAGTTGTATTTTATTTTGCTAATATATTTCTGGCAACTTTGTCGGTGCTCTGGCTTGCACTCGTTTAGAGATGAGCAACCGCTATTAGTGTTTTGATGCCATGGATTTGTGCCCTACTTGTCTGGTTCCCAAAGATGTGCAGATGCGATATGACAGTATGTTTTGCTATGTAAATCTGGAGGCGCTTTAATGTGATTGCTGTTTGGCAAGTCAGTGATTGCAACTTTGTTCTTTAGTTCACTTGTCCGCTTTAATTTTAGCGAATTTATTGATTCATTTACGCCAATTACTCCGAATTCCTCTAGTTATGCTGGAAAATTCGATTCTTCTGCAGTTTTATTGAATCGTCTTATTTAATGTTAGATTTCGGCATTGACGCAACTGGTTAGTGGTTTGTTTCGCGCTTAATAGTTGCCGGTTCTAACTCAAATTATGAGTGGCGGAGTAATTATTTTCTTAATAACGGCAAATTCCACTGAACAAGACATTCAGCCACTGCGAATTTGTGCAACCAGCCGAGAAAATGATGGCAAGTCGTGTGCCTACGACAATGAAGATAGCATTGAGTTTTGAGTGTATAGCATTTCATGAGATGATAAAAGCAACATTCGTAACATTTGTATTTATTACTAGATTAAATAGTTAGCCATCAAGTTGGCCTAAATCGAATTGCACCTTTACATGGTTCGTACAAAGACATCAGGCCACACTTCTCTATGACTAAATCATAACACTGTACCGCCTCCGTTGCTCGAAAATCAACTAAATGCTGACCATTTGTTAGCTTCTTACTCTAAAGCAGCGTGGGACGAATTCTGTGTTCAAGTTAACTAACGGTTAAGAGAAACGTTTTAAGAAGAGTTCGAGATTCGAACTGAACACCTGCAACGACTGTTGTCTCGTTACACCATATAATGGACCGCACAGTACCTGTACTCTACTACCAAGATTCAAATTTAGTTACATGGTGGTTTACTGAAAACAATTAACAGTTAACTGATAAATGAAAATAAAATACGATTACGCAGAAGGCACTTCTCAACAATCACTAAGTATTGTTCAGTAGTTTGAGGATTTCCATGAGAATCATTTTGTCCTTCTGTAGAACAACTTGCCTGTAGAAAAATTCGAATTGTGTTTCCGTGCAGAATTTCCTTGTTTTCAGGCTGTAATTTGTACAGCGAAATTTTCTGTTGAAAAATTGTGTAAATTCGTGGTATTTTTGTGCATGTTCGTTCATGGTAACGGATTTAACATTATATTCCTTCATTTGGATCACTTTTACCGACCGGTAGTCGGCGACGAATAACGCCGGCCACAGCACGTCTCTCTTTCCTCAGGGTTTCGAGCCTTCGCCATCCGAAAGCGACCTTCCCGACAAGTGCTGGTGTAATCTGTCCCCCACCTTCCCCCTATTGTATTCCTTATGGTAATTATTATGCTAAGTCAGTTTGGCAAAGGTTTCTTTAAATCTAGCATGTTCTGCACAGTTTTTAATGTTTATCAAATTACTTAAAGCTCTCGTACTAGTTGTGTACTTGTTCCTATGGCCAAATAAGTTTATGCTTTTTATTGACAACTACTGTGGATTTACCCAATGATTCTTCGTTCGATAGAAGCTAGAAATTGAATAGCGCTTATGGCTACCATCTGTGAACTTCGGGCAACCGTTTAAATGGGTACAATAACCGATCTATCAGGATAGCAACAAAAATTACCATATTAAAAGCCGCCGTCTTTTCATGCCTGAAGTACAGCCTTGAAACATTAACCCTTTTAAACCGCTGACTGCGGAACATTCTGAAATGCGATTGTTCTATTGAATGAGGAATGAAATAATCCTCCGACCTGCTTGGAAGAATCGTTGACTGGCATCTGTCACAAAACCATCCTGAAAAAGAATGGAGACCTATCCAAAGCCATTCTCCTCTGGAAAGCAGAAAATGGCCGCAGCTGATGGAGGCGGTTTTGCTTGCGATAATAACATGACCTATGCCGCAGCAGCCAACATTGCCTGAGAAACCTTTCTGAGAAGTCAGACCGTTGGGAATCGTTAATCTGGATACTCTTTCATTGACCCTAATTGATTCAAGTAATGAAGGCATTAACATCCTCGACCTACAACTTAAGCACCCTGTTCGAACTGGTCGATTATTGTCTAAGCCGTAAATTCTCCTGGTATGTTTTGTTTTTTAGTTAAAATTTGCGGGCAGCATTGCCTGAAGTTCAAATTGTCGTTCCCGCGTCAGTAATTTTCGTCATATAAGTATAATGCACATTATGCACATGAATGTTTTCCATAGTTTCAAAAAAATGGCCGAACATGTGCAGCGACATCTAGAGGATATGATGGAGGTGTTTGAAGTTTTGGAAAGGCTTCAATTGTTTTCGCATAAAGAAGTCAAGTACGTTAAATTCAGCGTCCTTTTCTTGAATCATTAAGCGAGCTTAATTACTTTTAGACAGGTGATAAAACGCTGTAAAATTTACGAGTACAAGCTGCAGAAAAGCGCCAAGAAGAAGCACGAAATAATTCAGTACATTCAGGTATGTTTTACTACTTCGTTCAGTCACTGGTGGTGCATTCCCGCAAGATGATGAATATAAAGAAATATTAATAAATAATCGATAAATGAAATTATTAAAACGTAAAATTAAAATCGTTAAATAAATTAATCAGAATTGTGTTGGGACGTTCGTTACGCATCGAAAGCCGATGTATTCGACTCTGTATATTGAATCGTTTGCTATACTGTACTTGCAAATTTAGAGTTATTGAAGTGTATTCTATAAGGCTAATTGTTGCCTCATTGTAGTACCTGACTTCTTTCAAAGCATTAATACATGAACGGCGAAAGTTGATGAAGCGTTGGCATAAAAAAGAAGAGGTCGCGACCTTCCTTGGCATGAGAATCGGTTCGTTATATAAGGTAAGGTTTCAGTGTGTGAAAGGTGGGGAAAAATTCTTCAAAGATTCAGGTTTCAAATGTTCAGTTAAATGCATAGATGATTACAGCTTTACTTGGTTTACATACTTTTGGTTTTAGCTTGCCTGCCATCGTTTTCCAAACGACGAGAATCTCTGGCTATCGAGAATCGAGTTCGCCAAGGTTAGGGTATGTCAGAAATTGCAGGTGGATAACAGTTAATTGGTACATTGGCGCCATGTTTAGAAAATGAACGTCACTACAAGTAAACTGTATATGAAGATGCTGAAAGTTCTGAGTACGAAACCTAGTAAGGCTGCCTGTTTATCTTTTTGTATTATACAATTACCCAGACGCAGTGATTTGCACTATAGTCACTGCGGCAGAATTTTTGCATGAAATGCAGATCGAAGGATTTCACAGTCTGGTTTCGGCATATCTTGAGGTATATCTTCATCTTCCATCGCCGCTTCTCCTTTCGGGTCGCGGAGGCAGTCGCGTCAGACAGTGCGTCCAACGTTCCCGATCCTGTGCCAGAGTCTGATCTTCGGCAAATGACAAATGCAGTCTGGAACAGATTCCTTCCGTATGTTTGCACCAGGTTAATCTTGGCCGTCCACTGGGCCTTTTGCCGGTCGGATAAAGGTTCCTTTTTGTCTTAAGGAACAGTTGCTTAGCCTTCCTTTCTGGAGGCATTCGCAACACATGCCCAAGCCATCGCAGCTGTGACTTCTCAATCTGGAGAACAGAGGACGTAATCCAACTCTCTTCCGGATGTCACTATTCCGGACCATGTCGAGACGCGTAAGGCCATTTCAGCAGCTTGTACCCGGGTTCGAGGTTTATCAGTGATGGTCCACGATTCATGACCGTAGGTAAGTATGAGGATAAAGATCGACTTGAATATTGAGAGCT